CAGCTTGTATCTTTGCTACCAGTGGCTTTGCAATAGGGTGGAGAGCTGGTGGCCATTAAAGCTGAATATTCATATGTCCATCAAGTGGTGTATGCTTACAGCAACTTCAAGGGAACATCTTCTAAAGTTAGTTTTGCAGGTAATAAAATGTTTGAATTGTATCATGTATCACTTCCCACAATGTCCCCTAACTTACAGCAATAGTAGATCAATTTTTGTATTTATATATGTAGAAATTTTCCAATTAGAAAATTAGCTATAGGATGGGAAGTTTATTTTTTTGTTTGTATTATAAAGTTATTCTAAACTATAACGTTTTAAATGTTATTGACATTTAAATTATTATATCACTTAAATATCTTATCTGACCAAATTAAATTAACCATGATAAAATAAGTCTTAGTTTGCTTAGACTGCAGGGAGTGGATTCCAGAGGAATTTTGTATTTGTTAATCAGGAACTTTTCACTGGGTAGGATGGCTCACACATGTAATCCCAGCTTTTTGGGAGGCTGAAGCAGGAGGATCACGAGCCTAGGAGTTTGAGACAACCCTGGCCAACCATAGCGAGACCCCATTTCTGCAGAAAATAAAAATAAATTAGCTGGATGTAGTGGCACATGCCTGTGGACCCAGCTACTTGGGAGGCTGAGGGGAGAAGATCACTTGCGCCTGGGAGCTCGATGTGGCAGAGAGCTGTGATTGCACCACTGCACTCCAGCTTAGGTGATAGAGCAAGACTCTGTCTCAAAAAAATAATAACTTTTCATATAAAAGACTATGGAAATGTTGCTTTAGTTAGTCATCTATAACTAGAAATACCGTACCATCAAATGAAAGTCTTACCCTAATCTTATGCGTATTTGTACCTTGAAAGGACCAGAGGCTTAGGTTTCTTGTCACTTTATAATGAAATGTATTCAACTCTAGCTGACTGAATGATAAACTTTTTTTTAACAAAACTTTTTTTTTTTTTTTGTCATTCCTTTATTATTTCAGCCCGTTACGGTGTTACTAAGTTTCAGGTATATTTTGTAGCCTTAATTTTTGCTATTTATTCTAGGGTAGGTTTGTTTTATAGGAAAGGACAACATCAATATATATTAAGGTTTACAGAAAAACAATAACGAAATGTATAGCCTGAAACAAATATTCCCATCTCCTTTGAGCTTTTCGTGGCTGCGTTGTTCACACGTTGCTTGCATCTTACAGGGTTGCTCCTGTAAATGTGACTGTTGAATTGCTAGCATTGACTATTTCCATTTTAATTTTTTTATTTTCTTAGAGAAAAAAAAAGCATCTGCTTTAAATAATGCACCAAGAATTACATGGACTGTGCAAATTTGGTAGATAAACCAAATTCATGTAGATGGCATCGGTTAAATTTGGGGCCAACAAGTTGCCAACTTTCAGTATGTGCGATTCTTCAAAATGTATGCTTTGGAGCTTTTCAAGTGATATTAATGCATGCTTTCCCGAGTGCTGGCTTTGACCCTTTTTTAGTTGTTTTGCCATAACCTTTTCTCAGGCATTTCAGGTGCATGTAGGAAAGCTCAGTGCTGCAAACTTTCTCAGAGCTCTAACCTCTCCTTGGAGTGAGTTTCACAATTGCATGGCATCTGGGAACTCAGTTTCCAGTTCTAGACTTTTATTATAACTAAAAAATATTTTTTAGCCCCATTTGTACATTTCTTTATTGCTTGTTTCTTTTAACCTCAAAAGCCTTAAGTATTTATGCCCATTTCATTGTATTCTATGTTAAATTATTTAACCTAGATCATATAGCAAAGAAGACAGTCATCTTTTAAGTGTTTGCGTAGAATGTTACTTTGTATCTTTAAAACACAGACCTGTAACTTCAAATCAATATTAACTGAACACTGTTTTACAGAAAGGATCATATTTTGAAATTACATTGCCAACTGAATTAATCTCAGTACTCAAATTAGAAAATTGGGATTGCAGATATAATCTATTCATTTTCCATTTATTTATTCAGCAAATATCTTTCAGCACCTAACTATTTTAGGTGCTGGAGAGTTTAGTGTTATTGTAATAGCAGTCAGTATAAGAAATTATGTGATGACTAAAGAACTGAGGCTAGGGAACTGTATGCTTACTGAATAACCAGGACAAATGAACTGTCAGCCCAAAAGCTGAGGACCCTGAGGTGGTGAGTGTGGAGGACGGTGTGCCTACCAACAGTGTCCCCCTGGGTTTCCATGTTTAAAGGTCAAGTATGAAGACATTTAGTAAAATATGTAAAATGTAATTTAAGCATTTAGGCCTTTTCTCTTACTGAAACTTCTAAAACCATTTAGGTAAGATAGATTTCTATTAACATTAAATAACATAAGTCATGAATAAACATAAGTCATACCACAAAGTTTATCAACGTATGGCAGGTATGTGAATAAATTTCTCTAATGTATTTTCTGTGTTAAGCTACTAGAAGAAAAAGTAATATTTCCTGAGCCCAAAACGATGAGAAAAGATTGTGGTTTTGAAACAGTAAAATGAGGCAGACAGTTGTAACATTTTTAAAAAATAACTAGTTAGCTTGGTGTTCTATTGCATTTGAAAACAGCATGATACACTATCATCAACGGTTAAAGAAATTGTGTTGGAAGAAAAGATAGGAAACACATCAAATTGTTAATAGTATCTGGTGAATTCACAGGGGACTTTTTTGGTCCCTTATGATTTCATTATTATATGTTCTGCAGTTCATGAGTATTACCTTTATAATCAGAAAAAAAAGCAAACAATTTTAATGAACTAGTTAGCACTGAGAGAACACCAGGTTAATAAATATATCTTCCAGTCACATTTTGTTATGTCTTAGTGGCTATGACTATCTGTGTGATTTTCTGATGATGTAGAAAAGATAAAGGATTACCCTATACTAACGGTAGCCTATAGCATTCTATGAAGAGAGCATATCTTTTCAAAGGAAAGTTGCATGTTATAATTTAACTTGGAATTAAACTATTTGGCTTTACTAAACAAATTGATCCTTTGGAAAAGTCACAAAACTTGATTTTTTTAGGGCTTTCAATGTGTGATTTTTTTTTTCATGGCATTTCCATTATAGAGTTAAGGTCTTATTTAAACATGTAAAATTTGTGATCCCCCCCACCACCAAGCAGAATTGCTGGGAGTTTGTTGTTGTTGTTTTGAGATGGAGTCTCGCTCTGTCGCCCAGGCCAGAGTGCAGTGGCACGATCTTGGCTCCTCCAGCAACCTCCACCTCCCGGGTTCAAGCAATTCTCCTGCCTCAGCCTCCTGAGTAGCTGGGACTACAGGTGCGTGCCACCACGCCAGCTAATTTTTTGTATTTTTAGTAGAGACAGGGTTTCACCATATTGGCCAGGCTGGTCTCGAACTCCTGACCTCGTGATCCGCCCACCTCAGCCTCCCAAAGTGCTGGGATTACAGGCCTGAGCCACCGCGCCTGGCCAGAATTGCTGTTTTGATGTGACTAAAAGGAAGTTTGAAAGTGATATTGCAGATAGCTGTATGAGGTTGTTACTAGAACAGAGGAAAGAAAGGGCACATAGTGGGACTGGGCTACATGCTTTCTTTTTGCTAGTGTAATTAGCTTCATCCTCAGACAAGCCCCAGGAGGCAATTATCCCCATGATACTGCTGAGGGAACTGGGGCTCAGAGTTTAGCAACCCCAAGCCCTGCTGTTAGTCAACTGTGCAGCACAGATGTGAGTAGTGGGCCAAATCCCTCTGTAGCCTGTGCTCACAGCCACCATGCTGCCTTTATGGCACACCCTCTTGAACAGCCAGTGAAGGAGAGGCTGGCTGACAATAAGCTAGTAAGATTACCATCATTTTCTTACCTATGAAAGAAAAATCAATAAGGAGTAGATAAATCTTCCAAGTAAATATATATAAATCTGTTTATAAATTATAAGAAATCAAATCCAGACCATTTGCTTCAGAAGATGCTTACATGAGGCTGGGATTATGTCAGCAAATGGAGAAAAGCCTTGTGAGTGTTAAAAGAGATGTTAATAACATGGTATATATAGTTTGCCTTCTGCAGGATTTATAAAGAATATTGAAATATTTTTCAATATTCAATATCTGGACTTTTTCAGCCCCAACATTTCATCCTTCTGGTCTGAAAAAGATTGGGGCCTTTGGGGAGTCTGCCTGCTTTCTGTTCTCAACTATAACCAGACAGCTCACCCTGCACACCACCTCTCTGTCTATCCTTTAGGTGTGTGTGATTTGCAAAACATTCTGTGGCCTATTTTCCTACCTCACACGCTAAAATCATTCAGTAATTAAATGGAAAAATCAGTAAGGAGTAGATAAATCTTCCAAGTAAATGTATATAAACCTGTTTATAAACTTTGAAATCAAATCCAGACCATTTACATCAGAAATTCGTTTTCAAACTAATAGTCCCAAATTAACTAACTTCACCTAGTTTGTGAGTATTGCAGCGTCTTATTTCTAATCTCAGTATTACTATTGGTGTGAGTCAGTAAAGATGCCTGGTGACCGGGGTGTGAACTTATAAATGGCACATTTAGTATCACATCAATAAAACATTTTCTTGAGAAGAATATAATTTTAGTAGAATTTTCTCCAAACGGACTTATTCAGCTGTTGAGCAAATAAAAATGTCATACATGGTAAAAACTTTCAGTTATCGGCAAATGTCCATGTAATTCTACCCTTCACTGTCACATCTAACCATATAACTTTTACTTACTGTTTTTACAACCCAAAAAATGCTGTTTACTGATAAGTATTTCAGTAAGTGTAAGTACTTATTCCTGATTAGGATGAGATTTACTTCATGCTAGGTTTTTATTACTTCTGTGGGTGGGAAAGACTATATAATCTGCCGTTCCTTACTGTGTGTCATTCTGGTCAAGATGACTTTATTTCTTGGTAATTATAGTGAAAAATAGACATCTCTGCAGAAAAATCAGTTTCTTTCTGGCTAAAGGATGTCTCTCTTGCTTTTGTTTATAGAACCCTCGGCCTCAGGAAAGTCGGACAGTGTTCAGTGGCTCAGTCAGTATTCCATCTATCACCAAATCCCGCCCTGAGCCAGGCCGCTCCATGAGTGCTAGCAGTGGCCTGTCAGCAAGTAAGTGCCGGGGCTGCAGGAAGGTGCCTCCGAGACAGGGTGACCCCAGCTCCTTCCCCTCCTGTCCTGTGGGTGACATGTCCTTCACTTACGTGTGCCCATTGCATTCTCAAGTGGCTGAAGTGTCTCACACCCTGCTGGGTAATGCCTAATAGGCACAAATGCAGTTGTTAAGAAAATAGTCCCCAAGTCCTTTTAGAGTATACAGGCCATCTGGGAGACAGACAAATATGATTACAAATTGTGGTGATAAATGCTCTGAAGGAAGTAAACAGCATACAGTAATAGAGAATAACAAGGAGTAACTGTTCGGGATGAATCCCTACTTGGCAGAATAATTAGGAAAATTACTCCCTAGAGGTGGAGTCATGTTTGAGTAATATTTGGTTAACTGAAAGAAGGCTAGTATGGCTACATGGTAGTGGTGAGGAAGTAACAAAAATTAGAGGGGAGTAGCAGGTAAGGGTCAGACCAGCAGGGACTTGAAGACCAAGGTAAGACATTTTTTACTTTATTCAAAAGCAAAAGGAAGACTTTTAAGTAGGGAAAATTTTTCATTCAATTTACATTCTTAAAACAATCCTGCAGGCTGCCAAGTGGAGAATGGACTAGAGGCGGGAAGAGTGGAAGCCAGCATCCAGATAGGAGACTCCTAGAGTGATCCTGGTGGAAACCGATGAGGGCTTGGGATGCAGCAGGGGCAGAAGGAGAGAAGATGGTAGATTCTCCAGATATATTTTCAGAGTTAAAAGCAGTAAGACTTGATGATGAATTAGTTGTGGAAAAGTAAGGGAGAGAGTTAAAGATGACACCCAGACTTTCTGCTAGGGCCTTAGTATGATACCATTTACTCCCATTTACCACCATTTAAGAAGGGGCTGGGGCAGGACATTCCAGGCATGTCCAAAGTTCCCGAGGTAGCAAAAAAAAAAAAAAAAATGCATATGTTTGATTCACTGAAAGAAGGCCAGGAATGGATTCAAGAATATACCCTTTACTACAATAAAGATAACATTCATTCAGTACACATCTTTGAGGTTCCATTAGCTACCAACTCTTCTGCTGAGGTGCTGGGGGTAAAAATCATATATGACCTAGTACCTGTTTCAGGTGTGTCTCAGTCTTTATTAGTCTCTTTCTCTCTCTCTCTCTCTCTCTCTTTTTAAACTGTACTCGGAACTGCAACATCTCTTTTCTACACTTTCAAACTAGAACCTTGAGCTAAGGGACCATAGAGAGAAAAAACTGCTCCATGGTACACTTAGGTTCAGCTACTGTCACGGAGCAACTTTTTGGTGGGGGGAAAGGTGTATAAAAAGATATTGTCTGCCTGAATAAAATTATACAAAGATGCTAAAGGCTACTTACCTCAAAATGAGAGGAATGTACAGATGGGACATCTGGCTGATTTAAAAAAAATAAATTTTACTCCCGTCAAATTCACTGCGATCTTAGATATTTCCTGGGTTATAAGCAGTGAGGTTGTACATTGTCAAGTGATCATTGTAGTTTCTTACCTGGGGAAGACTGTTCTTGGCTGAAGGGTTGCTTTTCTGTAACTTCCTCAAATGTGTGCTTTCCCGGGAGCATGGCACTTGCTTGGAGATCAGAGAGAGTGTCAATCGAGTGTGCCAGCGTAAATGCAGTCCCAAAGTGTACCAGGTGCAACTTCAGTGAAACCTTTTTTCACCTCCATGCAAATGAACTTTAAGAGAAAGTAACTGCACTAAATTCAATTTCACATTTAAAAGTCATTGAGTCAGAAAACTTACTTGTTCCCTTCTATTCTTGAATGTTAGATGGTTGAGTTCAAGTCTTCTGATGCAGATTGAGTTTCCACCATTCATTTGCTCTTCATTCAGCAAGTACTGATTTTGGCACCCAATTTGTGCCCAGGTATTTCTTTTTTTTTTTAGATTCTGGCAACATAAAGGTGAATGATGTTGTGTTAGTTACCTCTTGCTACATAAGAAATTATCCCACAAATTAGGAGCTTTAAAATAGCAAACATTTATTACCTCACAGTGCCTTAGGGTCAGGAATCTGAGAACATCATAGACTGGATGGCTCTGGTTCAGGGTTTCTCAGAAGATTGCAGTTGAGTTGTTTGCTGGGGCCACAGTCACCTCAAGACTCAGCTGTGACTAGAGAATCTGCTTCCAGGCTCACCCATGTGGTTGTAGACAGGTCTGAGTTCCTCACCGACTGTTGGTTGGAGGCTTCCCGTTTTTGCCATTGTGGGCCTCTCCATACCCAGTGCCTGAGTGTCCTTGTGGCCTGGCTGCAGGCTTCCTCCAGGGCAAGTGATCAGAGAGACAGAAGCAGCAGTCTTCTACCTAACCTCAGGAGTGCTGTATCATCACTTCTGCAGTATGCTGTTGATCACACAGACCAGCCCTGGGTGTGTGGCAGGGGACTACATATGAGTGAATACTAGAAGGGACAATCATCTTGGAGGCTGGCTACAGACCTACAGCATGCTTTCAAGGAGCTTTTGATTGACAAGATGTTGAAATGTACAGTTTGCAACTTTGTTGCCATTATCGCCTAACATCATCTGGACCCAGTATGTAGCCCTGACCATGAAAAAATCTTGCTAAGTGGGAAAATAACAGCCACTTCTATTATGTTTTTATTAGCGATAGCTAGGATTGATGTAAGCTGTTACTGACTATAAGTTATCAAGAAGTCAGGTACAAAGGTGTTACAACTTTAGGAATTAAGTAATGGTCTATAATTCGTTACCTGACGCCCTTGAGGCCAGAATGTTTTTATGTTTTAGAAAGGGATCTACCTTGTATTATGTTATATTCCCAGCAAGATCCATGACAAACAAATACATTAAGTTCCCACAAACACATTAATACTCACACAGCAAAAGTTATGACTGTTCACACTGTAAATATAGGAATAAATGGAGTCTTTATAAACAAAGCCTAAAGTCAACCTCCAGGATTTTTTTTGGGTTTTTTTTTGTTGTTGTTTTGTTTTTTGTTTTGGTTTTGTGTTTCTGTTTTTGTTTTTTGACACGGAGTTTCACTCTGTTGCCCAGGCTGGAGTGCAGTGGTACAATCTTGGCTCACTGCAACCTCTGCCTCCCAGGTTCAAGCAATTCTCCTGCCTTGGCCTCCTGAGTAAGTGGGACTGCAGGCGGGTGCCATCATGCCCGGCTAATTTTTGCATTTTTAGTATAGATGGGGTTTCACCATGTTGGCCAGGCTGGTCTTGAACTCCTGACCTCTTGATCCGCCCACTTTAGCCTCCCAAAGTGCTGGGATTACAGGCCTGAGCTACCACATGCGGCCTTGTTTTTATTTTTTTGAGACAGAGGCTCTATCTGTTGCCCAGGCTGGAATGCAATGGCACAGTCTTTGCTCACTGCAACCTCTGCCTCCCAGATTCAAGCAATTCTCCTGCCCCAGCCTCCCAAGTAGCTGGGATCACAGGCATGCGCCACCATACCCAGCCAATTTCTGTACTTTTAGTAGAGATCGGGTTTCACCGTGTTGGCCAGGCTGCTCTTGAACTTCCAACTTCAGGTGATCCACCCACCTCTGCCTCCCAAAGTGCTGGGATTACAGGTGTGAGCCACCACACCCGGCCCAGTTCACATTAGGTTTTGTCATCACATGAATTTGCATCAAGCTTGTGAAAAAACTTTTGGTTTTCAGGACTTTTGGATTTGTGGAATTGCAGATAAAGATAGGCCCTAAATTGCAAAGATTTAAAGAGCCGAGACAGCCCATCTCCTTAGAAGTGCTGAAGTGAGGCTCCCGTATCGCTATTGATGGCATGCAGATGACAAACTGGAACTGGCCTGGCATTCTTGTCAAGGCCCTTAATGGGTTCATCGAGTTTGGCCTTTTTTATGTCCCTGGTTACCAGCTGCTTGTCCAGTAAAGACACAAGAGGAAAGACCCTCTCGGGAATGCCGAGGGGCATCTGGTATTTAGAGTGCCTCCTGCTGGCTTCAAGACTAGGCCAATTCATATAAAATGTTTCCAGAAGGACAGCCAGCCAAGAAAGAGACAAGAAGGAACAGGCCAACTATGTTCAGTCTCTACAGCAAGAAGCACAGGATCTTCCACAGCCAGACTCACAATTTCATGATGCAAAGTCAAACCGAAACAGCAGTGCTCATCATGCTTCCTTCCCTCCTTCCCAGTTCACCTGAGGAATGAGACCCACTCCTGTCAGCAGTAGGGACTCACTGGGAACCTCGCAGACCCTCCTGGAAGTCATGCAGAGGTTGGACATCGCTCATCCCCAAGAGATTTAGGGCCCAGCCCCCAGAGTCACCACTTAAAACTCTCTGGAAGGGGCTGTACCCTGAGTATAGTACATCGTCTCAGCCAGAGGGTCCCCAGGCCCCTTTTGCTGTTCAATCAAAACTGCCCTGCCTTGATTTTTTTTTAAAGGTTGTAGTGTTTGAGTGTAACCTTTCTTTGAAAAAAAAAATTCCTGAAGTTTGAAAGTGAAAAAAAAGTGGAAATCACTGGGGTAGAATTCAGTTCATTTCTTTGTTCTATAAATGATGGCTAAGAAGGAGGGGAGACAGTGAAAAGACCAGAAGCACAGTGCGGGCCCGCACACACCTTGTCTTGCGTGTTACTCTCCATGCATTGAGTGTTGAGTTGTTCTCACAAAGTCCTGTAAGGTAGAATTTATTTTTTTACTTAAAGGTAAAGAAAATGGAAACTCAGAAAGGTAAAATAACTTGCTTAAGGTCGCACCATTAATAAGCAAAGTGGTGGAAGTCTCTGGCAGTTTGGCTTTCTGTGCAGAATAACAAAATGTTAAAGTAACTTTTTTGTTGTTTGTTGAACTGAGCACTAAACTAGGCATGGAATTGGAAGAAAACTCAAAAAATATTTTATGGCATTCGATTAGGTTATAATCTAAGGAGACAGGCATTCCACATCAAAAAAGTAAAGAGTATATTTCCTGAGAAATATGTCAACAAATGAAGACCGTTGCATGTGGAGAAACCCAATGATGGG